AAATCTCTTTTGTAACACCAGACACATAATGCTGCAAAGCAACAAAAGTAGTGGAACTGTATTCTCACTTGTTGATTTTTCTTTGCATGTGAATAAAAATGCTTTACTCGGCTTTAAGTTTTGTATTCGTCATTCAGATTCGAGTACATTTGACTAAACTTCTTATATTCAGTGAACTTTTAGCTCAATTCACGGAGGAGCAGTTGAATAGATACGAATTATTTCGGAGGTCTGGATTTCAGAGATCTAACATGAAACGGGTATGTAACAATTTTATGCTGTTCTTCTGTTCCAATAAGACGAGCCAACCCCGCTCCATCTCTTAAAGGGGATGGGAGATGGAAGAGGATTAAATTGTAGTTCTATAAGACATTGTGTATGTTGCAAATGCTTTTATTAATAATGTCTTGATGCTGTAACTTTCCTGTTGGGATTCGTCCAATACTTGTCAAAGTCATGGTTCTCTCTTTCATCTTTGTTTGGGTTTTTATGCAGCTATTAACAAGTATAACCGGAAGTCCAAAAATCACGGTTCACATGACAATTGTGATGTCTGGAATAGCAAAAATGTTTGTTGGGGAGCTTGTCGAAGCAGGTACATTTTCTTTGGGGGGTAAATGAATTTCTTTCTTTCTTGTTTTTTTTTTTTCTTTTTTTTTCGTGCATTTTAATGATGGATTAAGAATTTGCAGCCAGAATAGTGATGTCTGAGAGGGGGGATACGGGACCAATCAGGCCATGCCACATTAGAGAAGCATACAGGAGACTAAAACTTGAAGGCAAGATCCCAAAACGATCTGTGCCAAGATTGTTCCGCTGAAATTACGTTTTGACAGTTTGGTTAATAGCAAGCAATCAATCAATGAGTCTAGCTTTTTTATCCTTGTATGATTATTTTCTGTTCTCCGGATTATTGAATTTTAAGCTGTTGAGAATGTTGATGATGTTTGGTTTTGGATTCTCTGTGTTGGGATATGGAATGAATTGCAGCGGATCTTTTTGTCACTATGTGTTAAGCCCGTGAAGCCCCGCTTTGGTAGAACGAAGGCGCTTACGTTACAATATATGATTTTATTTTGAAGTGCTCTGTTCTAGTTTTATTAGTTGTGTCCAATTCATATTTGATAAATGGTGTGGGTTCAAATTGAAGATTTAAGGGAAAAAAACTCAAATTTATTCTTTAGTAAGCATGTCAATTACTTACTATATTAAAATAAGTAGTATCATCGAATTCGCCACTCCCTTTTTCAGTAATTGGGTTTCAAGTTCCAACGATTAAAAGTAAATTTAAGCATTATATAAATTATAAGCAACAATCCTAATTATCAATCATTTTGTCAGTTTATTAATCATCAGTTTTCAACTATCATCCTAAAAATCTTATAAGTTAGCTACCATGAGCCACCTTTTCAAACAAATCCTTCGAACATACTCTAATTAACAAAAAGAACACCTAAAAGACAGGAACTAAAGCATTTCAAAACCACCATAAATGATGCATACTACAAATAGAAACTGAACATTTCAAAACAAAGGTCAATGATGCATACTAAACATCATTATTGAACTCGGACATCTCGAAAAACCAACCAAACCATAGTTGAAAATGGTCTAATGTCAAGAGGAGCAATCAACAACCAAAAAACAGGGCAATTCAAGCAAGTCCTGAAATGACTGTAGCAAACAATAAAAAAGAGGAGTTGAGATAGTCTGCAAGAGAGTTGAGTTTTGGTATGTCCGATCCATCAATTCCTCCGATCAGCAAAGTTATCCACGTCATCACCATCTCCAAAGTTAATATTATTATTCCCTTCATCCTCTCCAAAACCAAATTCCTTGTTGTTCTTGTCCAAGCCATCTCCAACCCCAGTCGAGCTGCTGCTGGCGCTAAAAAAGTCTTTCCCGCCAAAATTCTGTCGATCATAGCCTTCATTGGTCCCACCTGAACCTCCATAATTATCGACACCCGAGTTATAATTCGATCCACCAGAATTATAATTCCCACCACCACCGGAATTATAATCCCCACCATAACCACCGGCGGAATTATAATTCCCGCCATCATTGCCGTAACCACCGCCGCCATAGCCTCGGTTATAGCCACCGCCACCACCACCATACCCGCCGCCACCACCACCATAGCCGCCGCCGCCACCGCCACCATAGCCGCCGCCACCGCCATAGCCACGCGTCCTGTCGTTAGCGTAATTAACTCTTATCTGACGGCCGTGAAGTTCCTAAATAAAAAAATGATAAATCTTTTTAATGGATGGTTGGACAAAATTATTGGTAGAAATAGAAAAATAAATTTAAGCAAGCAAAATATAGGCACCTGTTGATCCATAGCCTGAATGGCTGCAGATGCCTCCTCAGGAGAATTAAATGTAACAAAACCAAATCCTCTTGACCTACCTGATTCACGATCCACAATAACCCTTGCTGCAAGATAAACCAATCATCAAAAAGATCAGAGTTAATGTCCAACCTCCAGATACAAATTAACATAAACTATAAACATATGACTTAGTTTAAGTCCAACAATAATCACATTAGTGCCCAACCATAGCTGTAGGTATAACATAGAGCTTTCTTATAAATTAACAAAACTTCAGAAAGCACCTCAGCAAGATTTTGATTATAGTGAAAATTCATAAATAAAACAAAGAGAATAAAAGTATGTCACAAAGGCTCATTTTTGAGTACCTTCCATAACTTCACCATGCCTACTGAAAGCCTCTCTGAGACTCGTTTCATCCGTGGAATACGACATTCCTATAAAAGAAAACCAGAAAAATAATGGCATATAATACAAATTCCTACAAAATGAAAGCAGTCTTCTTCAGACTTCAATACTACAATATGAAATAGTTATTTCACCTCCAACAAAGACTTTTGAAGATGACATCCACCTCACCGCTTGAAATATGGAGGGCTTGGATATAGAAATATCCAAGCTGCCCATGTGATTGCTCACGCTCCTTCCTAAAATACTACCAGCTTTTCTCAAGAAAGCCATTGGGGATTAACCTGAAACAGGAGAACACACTTCCGTATAACGCAGATAATCTACACCAAAATGTTTCAGATTCAAGAGTTCGGAGAAAAGTATGGTTCTCCATCCGAATGTAATTTAAGAACACAGCTTGGGTTAAAATAATTTTTTTATACAGATCCTTCAGATACTAAACACTCCCAAGTTTGGGTCTTACTCGAACAACAAAAGCACTAATAAATTAGTGAATCCAAATGAACAGTAATCGTGAAGAGATGGGCTATCACCGAACTATAACTATCTAAAAGCTTTCAGCAATTTGTTATAGCACCCAAAAAAAAGAAGCAAATATTCTAGACATGGAAAGGAAAAACCCATTCCAAGATTCGAATAACAGCATCAGAAAAACCAAAAGCAGACAAAAAAAATAAACTAAAAGGGAGAGAAACAGAATCGTCTGCAAAAGCTAGAAACCAACGTTAACTGGAGATGAAATACGCAGGCATATGCACACGATCGTTGATGCAAGAGGGGGTATATAACTGAAAGGGAAAAACTTTACCTTAGGTGATGATCTATTGGGACTGTTGCTGAGCTCTGTGACCAGAAATGGGGACTGGGGAGTGTAAAACCCTAAAGAGAGTCGACGAGGGTTTGTCTAGCTGAGTGAACAGAACACAGATTCTTATAAAGAGTTGAATAAATGTCATCCGTTAGATTCAGGATTGTGAGTTTCAACCGTGGATGAGAGTGAGGGCAGACCGGCATCTTTGGCAAACGTAGAAAGTTCAATAATCATTTATAGTTTTTTTTATTTTTTTTTTGCATACAAAATGTCAAATCTTATCTTATCTTAATTAATAGAAGTGGTGCATCTTTTTATTCGAATTAAGCTTTTTTGCGTACACAATTTGGTCCCGCTGGTGAATGTTTGAACTTAGTTCAGTTTGTTCATTAACTTAAACCAGCTACAACAATTTACTAAAAATGAACTCAGTCAAACTTGTTTAAAACATTGCATTTTCCCAAATTTTTTAGGTTATAAATAAAACAGTTGGATTGAACTTGTTTTCGAACGAATATTTTGTATTAGGGATAACTCGTTTAATTCTTAAATTTGATAAACTCATTTGCTAAATACCGCACCCAAATACCTTTTACCGTATCCAAAAAATACCAAAATACCCTTACTAATATAAAAGAAAAAAATCGAAAAAAAAGGAAAAACGCAGAAAAAACGCACGCACCTCCCCGCCCCCCTTCCCTCACTCTCTCTCCCATCTCTCAATTCACATAAGCAAAAAAAAAATTGAAAAAATTTCGTTTTTTGCATTTGGACGCGGAAAAAAATGGCCGGCGCGAAANTTTATTTCGGTTTTTAAAATATATATAGATATATTTTTGTTAAATATATATATATATATTATATATTTAATATATATTTTTTTCGAATTTTAAAATATATATAGATATATATTTATTTATATATATATTTAATATATATTTATTTAAAATATAGTTTATTTTCATTTTCTATTTTATATTTAGATATATTTATATTTATATAAAATATATTTATATATATTTTATATTTATATAAATAAATTTTATATAAATAAATATATTTATATAAATAAATTTATATATATTTATATATATATTTATATAAACATATATTAAACATATATATTTAAATAATAGATAATTAAAAATGTATAAATATTAGCAATTTAATTAATTAATTTCATATATATTATTATATATATGATTAATGAAAAAATATTAATAATATATTATTAAGAAACAAATATATTAATATTTAAAATATATTAATATGTATACTAATTATTAGTTTAAAATTTTTTATTTAGGCTGATGAGTATGTTGCCGAGTTCGAGGATTCTGGACCCCGACACACATCCACTCGTAATGTGAATGCTTCCGCTCGGCGGGAGAGGGAACGGATGTGCCTTCATGCTCGCATGGTACAGACTACCCAGGCTGGTAGTTCCAGACATCTTGTTGCTTCGATGCCTCAGTCTGACCCACTCATGCCTGGCAGTTGGAGTGGTCAGAAGTCCTTGTCAGTGATGCCTAGCAGTTCTGGACGTCTCCCGACTATACGTATTGTTCATCGGCGGGACTCCATTGAGTCGACAGTCAGGAGTCCGAGGGATGATGATGATGATGGTGACGATGATGAGCAGGCTTATGATGATGACGAGCAGACATATGATGATGACGAGCAGGCCTATGATGACGACTTTGATGCAGCTGAGCAGCCACAGACCCAACCACAGGCACGTCCAGCTAAACGACTCGGCCGAGTTGATCCTCCACAACAGGCTGGGGGCCGTTACACGAGCGCTGCCTCATCCTCAGGTAAATGATATACGTATTTATTGTTGTTTACCATTAGATATTATTTTATTTAATAATAGCGCATCATTGATACAATCAATCACAGTATGCCGTATATATATTGATTGTTCTATTATAATACATGGGCGAGTAGCAAACGCACTAAGTGTGACGACTGGCTTGTTAAAGCCCCAGTACCCGGTGGCCCCTTTGACGGGAGTGTTATCCCTAGTTTTCTAGGGCACGTAGCCTCCCGGATTTGGACTGGACATGTTAGAGGCACGTTGAAGTGCCAAAACAGGATGTCAGCGAACGGTGTTTTGAGGGAGTGGCTCGTACAGATGGCTGAGGCTTCGCGAGATCTGGTCCGTCCGACCGGGCTGTCACATGCATGACCACATCGACACTCCACTTATTTCAACATTTGTGGAGCGCTGGCAGCCAGATACCAACTCGTTTCACCTGCCTTTTGGTGAAATGAGTATCATGTTGCACGACGTGAGGGCGATATTGGGGGTTCCTGTCGTCGGTGCGGTAGTCACAGGGGACCTCGACACCTTGACACAGTAAGCGCACTGCATGGAGTTCCTGGGGGTGGACCAGGCGACACTGATAGTGAACTTTTGGGGTCACGGCTCGGTGACGAATGAAGCCATTTTTACTGCGTTGGAAAAGAATGGCGCAGGTCGGTCGGCTGAGCATGTGGCGATTGGCTGGCTGTGGGTGCTGCTCGCTACCACCTTGTTTACAGACAAGAGTGGTAACATGGTCAGTCCCAAAATCGCATATCAAAGAGTTACTAGGTCGACCTTGGCAAGTCAAGGTGAAGCATATTTTCCGTGAAGCGAATTTCGCAGCCGACCATTTGACTTCCTTCGCTGCGGATGTTTCGTTGGGTTACCATTTCTTACCAGATCCGCCATTTGGGGTCCGTCAGTGGCTTCACCATGACCTGATTGGCGTGTCGTATTCGAGGGCGATTTGCAGCTCACGCTAACAGGCGGAGTCTCTTTCTTTGTATAAAAAAAAAAAAATATAAGATACTCATTTCAAAACAACTCACATCACAAACAACTCATTACACTTTGAAATGTATTTAAGTTTTTCTTTTAAATGAAAAGCTCCAATTTTTATGAATGCATACAAATCCAGAAAATGGTAAAAGGCTTGAGAAAAGAAGTTTATCATTTGGGATGGTGAAAGAAAATGCAAGTATGCAACAGACCATTTAGACCCGGTGGCCAAAAAGGTTTTGGTTTTTATTTTGCAAGCTAGCTTTTTTAGCAGGGGATGAGCAATTTTTCATCCAAAATTTTCATTTTTTTTCATCCACATGATGTAGCTGTGTCGATTTTCAAATGGTACTCACAATCTTTTATTGGACGGTTTTTGCATCAAATGAATACTGTGTGAGAACAGCTCCGACTCAAAGGTGCCCTTTTGAACTCGCTCGTCTTCGTGGCCCTCATCACACTCGCCAATGTCTTATTGGTCCTCCTCTTCTACCTCAGGTGCGCCAAATTCCTGAAATATTTTTATTTTTTTTATTTTTTTTTCCAAATTCCTGAAATATAACTTACTATAATTTGCTTGACTTGTTTCCGCGAGCCTGTTTAGGGCCGTATGCTTGTCCATGACTGTTCTTACATTCTTTGTTGTGATAGTGCTTTAGCTGAACAAGAGTCACCATGATGGCTGTTGAGAAGTTTGAATTTGAGGGCGTCTGTTTTTTTTTTTTCCCACTGGTTTACATAATATGTGTAGAGGAAATTATAACAGGAAGTGAGTGCCTTCTTCATTGTTAATGCGGATGCTGGAGGAATTTTCATCGTTCATATTAACTCATATTTATATATTTTGAAGAATCAGCTATTAGGAAAGTTCCCGGTTAGCAATATATTGAATGCTAAATGTGAATGCTAAATATATTGAATGCTAAAATATATTACTCGAGTGTAAATTCGCTTGAGGAAAATTTTCCGAGACAGGTGTGTAATTGGCAAGTAGCTCGAGTGCTCGTCACATTTTTTTTAACTGTCTCAAGAGCATTTAGTAAAGGCCTTTCTTAACTGGTAGAAATTTTAAATAGGAAGGTGCAGATACTTTTAGATTCTAAAGTGGTGTATAAACGAAGTTTAAGTTAGAAAATAATGTTCAATCTGGAGTTGATAAGTACTTTGAAAGCAAATCAAGAAGTTGGGATCTTCACAAAACAGTACTAATCTTCTTCAACCAGTAGGATCTTGTGCTGTTGGAGAATGAATGCATCTGCTTTCAATCTGTTAACTTCAATCTTTATTCTTATTCTATTCAGTGATCTGTTAGCTTGTTTTCTAGACTACCCCATAATATTGCAAGTTAGATATTTTTCATACAAACAACATAGCCTTCCAAATAAAGGCTATGTTATTGTTGTTGTTTTTTTTTTAGATATTTTTCATGTTGGGTCTGGGAATGTGTTTGCTAGTTATCCGATAAATCTTCCAAATAACCACATTGCATATTCTAATATGAATATATGATTATAATTTTCTTGCCGCATTTTGTCTTTCTTTCATATACAGTCCAACTATGCTCTTTTTGTTGTAATGACTTACAGCCATGCAACTTTGCTGTCTATAGATAGTCACAGATAAACGAGCTTACTAGAAATTTTCGTTCTTACACTTTTCCCTAACAAGTTTCAAGATTCTTGAGTTTCCATATGACCGAGCTGAGTGGCTCGGTCAGCTCCAATCCTATCCATTTGGCTTACGCGACCTGGGTTAGCCATAAACCGGTTGATGTTTAATTCTGAGGTGTTAGTCCCGGTTCAGCCAATCTAGGACTATATCACTTATCTTGTAATTTCCACCTATCTTGTTATTCCACCACATACATGAGACAGTCAACTAAGTAGACCTTCCTATTATTGCTTTATACTAAACTCTTTTGATTGGCCAAATGCTGCATTGACTCTCATCCAACCAGTGGGTTGACCTGCATTGAATATCACCATTTTTTTCATGCTCTGAATGTTGCAATGTGTGGACTTTTGAGATTGTTAGGATTTTATAAGATATTGATTGAAATATTAAAATTTTGACCTGCATTGAATATCACCATGTTTTCCATGATCTGAATGTTGCAATGTGTGGACTTTTGAGATTGTTAGGATTTTATAAGATACTGATTGAAATTTTAAAAATTTTAGCATGTCTATACTTTCAGAAGCAAACAGAGTCGCAAGTAAAGCTGGTATATTTACAATTTGGATAGAAAGATAAATGAGGCTACTGCTCAAGTAGAAAACAGGTATAAAGACCAGATATTCCAACAGCCCTATGCACACCAATTCAAATCTACACCAAACATCATCAATCATTATAGTGAGAAAACTGTTGGAAATGGTTTTTAATTTGTAAATTGTTTTCCTCCAAACACTCGCCCATTAAGCAAAAGTCTTGTACATTTTGAACCATTCAACAATTAGAAAAGTGATTGCTTGTGGTGACCCCTCTGTCTCTCTACGACGACCTAGTTTGACAAGGACTAATGGTCCCAACTAAGTACTGCTTGATGCAACTTCTATTCAAAAGTCAATTTGTTTTTATTTTGATTTTGTCACACAATTTATGCATTGGTTTGGGTCAAATATAACATATAGGACTATCTTGTGGCCTGAAATTTCACAAATCTTCTTGGATATATCAGTTGTTCAAATATCCTAGATGGGGAGACCAAATGTGATGGTAGATTGGTCCAATATTGAAGATGTTGCATGATGCATAAATTCATCCCCATTATAACCAAATCGGGCAAGTTGGTCGATCAATTTTGGTTTTATCTTACTCGATTCCATAATATAATACTCGAATCAAAATGATTCAGTGGTCAGATCATGTTGTGTAGATAAATGTATAAAGATTTAGAAATCAAGGTTGTAGATGAGATACATATTTGATGAAGATGAGAATGCACGACTGTTCTGGACATACACGATCATATAGCATAGTTAGTCTAATTATTTAATGAGTTTATTTTAGTAGTTATTTAAGTATGGATGGATAGGACTTTGACATGGAAGGATTACAATTTTCCACGTCATCACGTAATTCGGCCCCTCGGGATTACTGTACTAAAATTGATGAAAATTGTAACATAGTGGACTATTTTTTATGAGGGGAAAGGTTTGTTACCAAAACTGGACAATGACCAACTTAGAGTACCAAAATTAAATTTTTGCCTCATTTCGAGTGTGGTTTCAATATTGAGCAGTTTGAACCTTGTTGATAAATCCCACCTTGAATTATCTATATATCAGTCTTATTCATATCTCATTTTTCAGAGTAAATGTTAAAAGAAAAATATATGTTTGAGTAAATTAAATATAGGATGCTAGACATCCTAAATTTAGAATATGCAGGTGTTTGAACAAAAAATGCAATAAAAAGAAGACTAGATGCCTAAATCAACGTTAGGCCATAATTTTAACCTAACAATTTACTGTTTTCTTGAAAATTCTTGCCTCTCCAATTAATTACTCTTTCCTTTTCCTTCCTCTCAAGAATTCACATTTTTTTTTTCTCTTATAAACCATTCATATTAGACTGCCGGTCGGTGGAAACTGGAAAGAGGGGTCTTGCAGCTGCCTTTTCCTGGCCAGTTTTGTTCGGCCGGAAAAAGACAGATGACGACCATCTGATCCCGCTCGATTTTCTTGTGCCCATGTGCATGCATGCATGGTAGGCAGGTTTGATAAAAAAGAATTTGGACCGTAATTTGTTATATTTCACTACAACATTG